TCCTGCTTCATAAGCCTCTGCAACACTTTGAATCTAAACTTCTGTAACCTTGGGTTCTCAAGAAACAGACACAAGTACTTGGAGTTAATGTAGTTTATCTGGAAGCTAGTTTTATAAAAGACAAAGAGAAAGTGAGATCAGGGAAGAGTGGAGGCAATAAAGGGTGTGTTAAGGAACACACATTAATACTGGGGATGATGCTTAATCTCGTTGACAAACTGGTGACAGGCTCTGAGAAAAATGTATCAAGCATTGTTCATCAGAAGATGTGGTGCCTGGGTGCTTTTTCCAAAGACTTCCATTTCATTAAAAGTCACTAAAAGTTGGATGCATTCCTATAATCCCTGTACTTTAGCATTGCAAGTTTAGGTCTTGCCTGGGTAATTTAGTGAGATTTCTCTCAAAATATTTTACAAAGTGGGGGCAGATGATACAGCTCAGTGGTAGTGTTCCTGGGTTAATGCCAAGTACCACAAAATATAACACTAAAGTTCACCCCTTCTCTTCTGGTCTATGGGTTACGCAAGCTTGGAGCATGGCAAACTCTCACTGTGTTGGAATAAAGACTTAGGCAGTGCTGCAGAGGAAAATACCGGAACTCTGGAAACAAGGCCCCCAGAAATCAGTCCACTCAGGTGGTGAAGGAAAGAAATGTGGGTCAGATCATCAGTAACATCTGAATCTCCTTTCACCTTCAGGAACTATTCGTTTCTCCTTTCTATTAAAACACTTCTTGAAGAAGCCCTTGTTAGGAGTTACATAACATGCCTTATACACTTTCTAGTCCAATCCTGTTATATGGCAAATAGAAAATAAGGGCCTCAAATTTATTGAGGGGATATTTGAATCTTTGTTTGAAGACATTTTTCTGGGTTCATAAAAATGTACAAGAGAGTTTGATATATTTTGTATTACTTATTAAATTTAAAACGAATTGCAATACCTTGACATCACATTATCATTTACTCTGGTGCCTTCTTGCAACTTTATAAAATCCCATATCTTTGTCAATATCTATTGAATTTGATGTCTCTACTGGATTTTTTAAAACTTGCAGGCTTTTAAGAATACGCTAATTGGATATTCTGGAATTACAAAAGCTACTTTTGTATGTTTGTTTGAACATATTGATTTTAAAACTGCCTAGGAAGGTAGCAATATGTGAGGACCTCTTTCTAATCACTTCTCTCTCTCTCTCTCTCTCTCTCTCTCTCTCTCTCTCTCTCTCTCTCTCTCTCTCTCTCTCTCCTCTGAAACAATATTCAAAATACTTCACCCTAAAACAGAATGCCTGGGTTTTGACTGGCTGGGAAAATTTATTTAATTTAGGTACACCCTTTCTCCAAATTTAATTTCAATTTTAAGCGCTAGTCCCAAATGGTGGTGGTGGTGGTGTGTGTGTATGTGTGTGTGTGTGTGTGTGTGTGCGTGTGTGTTTGTGTGTACGTGCATGAGTGTGTGTTTGTTTTCTTGTCACTGAATAGATAAGATGTTGACTAGAGCAGAAGGGCTCAGAAAAATTGAAAAAGTGAATAGAGGATTGTATTATAAAAGCCTCAGGTCACTTTTTAAAATAAGTACAATAGTAATAAAAAAGGGTGTTCAAACAAGGATCCAAGTAAAATGTTTCAGATATTATTCATTTAGTCAAAGCAAATAACACTCAAAATTAAAAGCATATGCCGTTTTCCCCTTGAGAATATTTGCCTGTAAGAAGATTGGCCTGTAAAAGTCATTCATTTATTTAGTTAGCAAATCTATTGATTATTCAATCCATTACATCTAAGCATTAGTTGCTAAAGATTCAACAATGAAAGGGCATAGAAAAGACCTAGGAACTACAGTTATTTCCTTTTCTCAAATATCTCCTCTGCAATAGCCTTAAGAATGTTCTGATTTTCACATAGCATAAATTCAAAACATAAATTATTGTCATAAATTTTATCTAGGTTATCAATTATGAGTTTACTTTAATCATAAAATATAAGATTAAAAAAAAGTGAGACAGGGCAAAATAAATAAATTAATATACCATTATAGTCCAGTTATTGGGCTGGGGATTTAGCTTAGCGGGATATGTGCCTGCCTTCCAAGTGCGTGGTCATGAGTTCGATCCCCGGTACCAAAAAAAAAAAAAAAAAAAAAAAAAAAAAAAAAGCCCAGTTATTGTTGGTATTTGCTTTCTAAGAGTCATTTCTAGCTGGGGATTTAGTTTAGGGGCATATGTGCCTGCCTGGCAAGCGCGAGGTCATTAATTCGATTCCCAGCACCAAAAAACAAACAAAAACGAATCACTTCTATTTCATCAAATTTGAACAGCATTTCAAAGAAAATAACATATAACTGCAAACATATCAGGGAAGAATTCAAAAATATTTGATAAACCTGGACAGAAAGAATAGAATATAAAACTAAAATAAAGGACAATATATACTTTTGTAATTTATTTAATCAAGGAAGATGAGAAAAGAATGGTAATAAAATTTCTAATTCCTTAAGACAAGTCCACCCCAAACCTAAGTTACAAATATCTATATTAAATTTCACCAAAACCAAATACCTATTTTATGTGTTTAATTTTTATATTGTATTTTATTAGACTATATAATAAAACAAATTTACTGGATGAAATTGACCATAACAAATGAGCTTCTAACTTTTAAAACATCAAAGGTTGCAGGTTTTGAATACTTGGATTTAGTTATTACCATTCTAAAGAATGCTTTGATTTTCTTAGGTGTTATAAGTAAGTAAAACATCCAGGCTTGGAGAGGCTTAAATTTAATATATGGTTTCAAAAAACTGTGTAGGAAAACATCATTTTACTGACCTCAAAAGGGTGACTTTGATTTATAGTATAGATTCCAGTACTTATACTACCTGGATCATGCTTTCATTTAAAAAAATACCATTGACTAAATGCTTAGTTAGAAATATCAGTGAATAAAAATAAGGGAGTAATGAAAAGTTAAATCTGTACATAGTAAAGACCTTATGGCCAATTGTGAACTGCATTCAACAGTACATTTGCTGCTAAGAAATTCAAGTACATCTAATTTCAGTGGAAGTAATTTTAAGTGCTTCCTGAAATAAGTGGTCAATACTTTATTTAATAATTATATAATCAGTAAGATAGATGCCTCAGTTTTATGAGGGATATTGATTTATTTTCTTATACAGTGGGAAACTTTTCACTGTACAAATGAGAACACAGGTAATTAGACAGACAATGTTTATCTTCCATTCTCAGTATTAAGAACACTAATTTTCTATTCTAAAAACCAATAGCAACATCAGCATTTCCTGGGAAATCCATTAGAAAGGCAAATTGTCTGGCCCCACTTCTCCAAGAGTGAATCAGTAACACTGGGGATGGGGCTCAGGGAGCTGTGTTTAAACAAGCCATCCAAGGGATTCTGATGCCCACTCAAAGGTGAGATCTATGACTGTAGTCCACCTTCTTGCAGATTTTTGTGAAGATTAAAGGAGGAGAATTGTGGCACAGGGCTTGGGGGAAACAATCAAATAAATAAATCAAGGACTATATAAGCAAAATTTATTAAATAGGCCGATGATTGTTTTCCACTTATTTTTCTGTCTATTCCCTCTTTAGTTGGTACACGCATTTAGAGATAATCTCAGCAATGTCAGCAAGCTTAGTGGCATAGTTCAAGCTGTGAGGGTTCAATAAATAGGTCGGCAAACATTGCAAATCAACACAGCTTTTGATGAAATGTCAAGCAAGAGAGAGCTTAGCTATATTCAGCTCAGCTTGAACTCATAAACCATTAACTGCCCTCTGATTCCAGGACATACTGTCTGATAAATAAAATTGAAATATAAATACTTTAAAAAAACTTTAAAATGAGACTTGTAAAAGACAATTTGTAAGTAAGAAATGGCAACTATTTAGTCCAGAGCTAATAAGAGAGTCCATGAGCAAAAGTGGCTCTTTTCTTACAAAGAAAGTTATAACCAAAACTTGAGATCCAAATAAACTTCTAACTTCTGATGGTGTTTTCTCCCTAATAATTTTTTTAATTTAACAAGGCAGATTTTATCTCAATTCCTTTAACACAACTGACCCCCCATAATTGTCATGTACATAATGATAGAAAAACTTTGCCATATCACAATATATGTGATTTTAAAAAAACAGAACATAATTTTAAGAATTAATTCACTTTAAATATATAGATTGTACATACTGACAAAAAATCTATGCTCATTTTATGCTTTAGAATATGCTACAATTTGAAAAACAACATGATTAATCATTATACTGCTTTTCTGTTTTGGAAAGCAAGCACTTAATAAATATTTGGTGTCTAATATCATTCTTAGACTTTCTGGTAATTGGGCAACCTGGAAATGCTGTTTAAAAATGTGTCCTTGTTTGCATACTAACAAGTTGTGCTTTTCTGAACATATATAAATATTACTGTTCACAAGGTTTATTATTTTTCTTTTATTAAAAATAACTTACAGAAGCATATGCATATATGTATATAAACATGTAAGTTTTTATACATATGTATCAATATGTATGACGCATAAGCTTTTCTAGAAAGATAAAAATACTTCATATTATTTTTCTGACTATGGATGTGGTCTATGCTTTTTTTGAAATTTACTTTGAAATAGTTACATTATTGTTTACTTATTCAGGTCTGGATCATGAATGTTTTATTTCTTCATACAAGAAATAATTTTAGATCCCAAAACAAAGTTCACAAAAGCTAAAGCCCCAAAAGTAGAATCAGGGCCCCTTATATCACAGATTAGCATTATCCTATAGGTCATTAATGTCAAAACCTTTCCCTTCATTCCTCACAACAAAAGCCTCAATTTAACTTTTATACAAATCGGAGTAACTCAGACATATTCCAGAGGTTGCAAACTGACCAAAAAGTCACCTTTAGGGAAACCTGCTTCTGAATGCTTGTGGCATTTATCATTCTTCTGAATGGCTGTTGAATTTATCTACAGCTTTTACTCACCAGATGAGACCTCAGACATTTCAAATTCTGCGGAGGCTGGTTACACCTTCATAGAAAAGCTTTTTGCTGATTTCCCTGTTGGTACTTTTCTCTTACACATTCTATGGGGTATGATAAACCTGGAGGTAGAGCCATAGCCAGGCACAGATAAAACAGGTACATAATCTCTATCCAGGCTCACAAAAGCGAACAAACGCACAATCTTTTTGCACCTGTTTCTTCCACTCCGGTTGCTGTAAATAGTGAGGTGTTCTTCACAGAGTCAGCTTCACAGACAGCATTTTGCCAATGCTCCCCTCTCACGGCAATGGTTTCTTCCCTCCCAGGCTCAATCTACCTGATTACGTTCCCTTCTAATCAGTAACCTCAGTTCCTCTAGTAATAACTGTGCCGTCTGCTTTATATAGTATTTCTCTGAGACTGAAGTATAACTGGAGTGGAGAATTAGTGGCACTGATTATTATGAGGACACCTGTATTTTTGTCTACTCTTCATGGGAACTCGACAGTGCATTCATTTATGCAAACTGATGTAAGTGAAAGAAAGCAGAAGGGGAAAAAAAGCATAAAGAAGAGATCAGATCCATAAAGTTGTGCACCTGTGTGATGCTGCAAGGTAAAAAACAAAACAAAACAAACAGAAAAACCTAACTCTAAAGAGGTCCATTACTGCTCAAAATATATTTCCCTTAAAAATGTAAAAAAGGAAAAAATTGCTTAAAACTCAAATATCTTCCTCCTAATATACCTTTGAAACTCTATTCAAAATCTAAAACAAGATTAAATGCAGTAAGAGACACAATGCACAAGTTAATTCTTAAGGCAAATGAATATTACTTTGGATAAAATCTAAAATTCATCCATGTAAACCCTGTTTTAATAAAATAATCTATGTAACTTATTCAAAATTGTATTTGAAGTTAAACCTTGAATCATAAGTCTTAAAAATACAGAATTGTGCCAGGTTTGTATAATGACTGTTTACCCACAGCATAAGATTGAAGTGGATTTTCAGATTAAAAATAAAACTCTTAAGTATGTCAATCCTCATCGGATCAAAGCACACAAACCAAATTTTTTTCAAGTGCTTCATTAACAATATAGCTAAGGAGACTTGTCATTGTATTGTTTCTTTAAGGATAAGTCTTTCAAACTGTTGAAGTCCATATAAAGATCTTAGAGTTACAATTTGCATCATTTTGTCTTAGTAGACACGGTGTTTTACAGAGGATCTGACAAACAGTAAAGGTGCAATACATGATTTTTAATCCAAAAAATGAAAAGTACCATTCTTTTTGCTGCTGATATTTTAAAAATCAAGTTCTGCACTTCTTTAATCTTTACATGTTGCAATTTTCCAAGGCTCCAAAAACAAGTAAATCCTATTGTTCTTGTGAACATACAATATTCAGTCATTATAAACATTTACTTTGTTTAAAATAACTGATTTTTTCCTTGTTCCCTTTTCTATTCTCTACATCTAGACACAGAAATTTCATTTGGAGAATACAGGAGGTTTTGGTGGGAGAAAGATCATTAATCGTGCAGTATCCCCTTGCCTACAAAGAATACTGCATCCAAATTACTGAGGAACTAAAGAAACCTTGTAGCATGAATATATAATTAGCAGTGTTGCAAAATGAATGGAAATGGAGGTTGCCTAACTTAATTAACTGTAATCATTACTCATTGTCGTTCTGTTTAGAATGATTAGTTCAGGATATTTCTTTTGTGGTACTATAGTAGAGATTTCAAATGCCCTCTTAAATTTGGAAATTATTATAATACAAAGAAAGAATTGTCATGCCCTTTTAATCAGATATAAACTTGTCCTGAAAACGTAAGTTTCATGTCTATCTTTGGAGAATAGAAGAGGAACGATTAGAAAATATTTTGTGAGTTTAAACTTAGAAAAAAGATAAGAATTACAGAAGTTAGTGGCTTGAAGGGGAAATAAGGTACTCTTTATATGAGTTTCTATAAATAATTAACTCCTGGCCATGGAGGAGGGACATAACGGATTAAGATCTAAAAGGGAAATTTAAAGATAACACTGTAGGAATAGGTGGTGCTGTCTAATTGAGTAGATCACAACTATGCAACAATGCAAGGTGTCCTAGGTACCTGCAAGGACACTGCCACTAAGAAAGTAATAAATTCTGTTACCCACTGAATCTATTACTGTTTAGTACTTCAGTAGAGAGTGTATTCATATTACATGAAATTTGCTATATCCAGGGTAGCTATATAATTCCAATTACTTAATTTTTAAAATCAATATTAAAAAATGATTCCTAGCTTCAGTAACATAACCACAGCATAATGTATCACCTTGCACTTAAAACCTAGTTTGTTAATGATACTAAATCCTTTCCAAGGGCTTGGGAAAATGAGGGTCATTTTAAATAGTGATTCAGGAGTGCTTTAGCATTATAGCTATCAAGTGATATTTCCTTAAACATAATTGTTGGAAGAGACATGTTACCAATGTATTAGTGGTATTCATGTATTAGTGGTGTTACATCTTACATCTCTTAAGGGCACATGCTTATAGGGAATTATTTTAAATATTTTCATTAACATGATTTTTTTGTCCAGTTACTAATTTCAATGTGGATAACTAGGGACGTGTTGATGGGTCTGGACACTGAACCTTATATGAAGGTGCTTAAACATGTAGTGCAACTAGGCCAGAAATCCATACACATACTCCAATTACCCATTACTGTGACATTGTGATAAGGTAAAGCTGGATGGGAAGATATGCTTTCTCTAAAAATGGATAGTCAGAGGGTTTTAGGTAAAGGATACTGCTCCAAATTTCAGTGCACCACATATACTAGCAGTGTACCACATACGCTAGCAGAAGCTCTGATTACTTTATACTATATCTAGCCAGATGTAAGGGAAAATATTTGAGATTTCATTTACAAGAATTATGAAAATTTGTGGTGATCTATAGAAAACTGGTTAGACTTTCAACATCAGGAAGCTTTTTATCTGTAAAATAGGGTAGCTACGTGCCATACAGGTCAAAACATGCAGTTAAATCAGATGAAATAGGTCTGGATTTAGAATTTTTCTATGTACTAGCTGTGTAATCTCAGCATGCCATTTAAACTACATTACATTATCTGTAGAATGGGAATCATATTAAATACACCTTGCTAAGGCTATCATTAGGATCTGCTACAAAGTGTTTTAACACACTTCTTGATACAGATTTAATACTAAATAGTAGCTGCTTTTTATCAACAGCAACAATAAAATGATAATAACTCACATTTTCCAAGGCTTTAGAGAAAACAATGTATACCAAACAAGTTCTTAAACTAAAAAACACTATAATGGTGTTAGAGGTGGGGCTTCTTCCATTTAGTATATGTGTTTATCATATCTTGATTTTTGGAAACAGGGTCTCATTATGTAGTTGCGGCTGGCCTTGAATTCACTGTGTAGCCCAGGCTTGTGTCAAACTGGCAGAGATCCTGTTAACTCAATTTTCCAAGTGCTGAGATTACAGACATATAACACCACCCCTGGCTCATATATTGAATTTTAAGGAATTACAAGAAATAGGGAACATGTAATGCTACCAGAGAACTCAGCTACAATAAGTGTTCTGAAAGTTTAGGCTCCTATAGATAGTTGGAACCAAAGTCATTATATATCTATATCTATATCTATATCTATATCTATATCTATATCTATATATCTATATCTATATCTATATCTATATCTATATCTATATCTATATAATTGCTACCATATACATGTATATCTGGATATAGATGTATATCTATATCTAGTGCAAGATGATACATCTAGATATAGATGTATATGGTAGTACAAACCTAAACACATAATATATCAGGGAACAATGTGGACTGAGCCTGAATGCACAGATATAAAACCAGAACTTCAATAATCTGATGATGTGGCAAATAAATTAGGAGTAATCCCATTAAATCTTTGTCTCTAGAGTTATCATTCCCAATAATCACATTTTTTGAACTACTATCTTGAAAATCATGTTTCCTGAAGACACTTCTGTGTAGCAGTAAGCTACACAACTCCTATTACAAAAAGAAAAATGAGGCCATACTATAAACACATTATCCGATATAGTGCTGGAAAGTGCAAGTTGGGAGACATTATTGCTCAGTGGAAGTCAATTTAAAATAAGATGTTACAGAGATTTCTCTACAAGAATAAAGAATCCCAGCAATAATTGTTCGGCAGTAACCTTTGAAATGTATGCTTTTATCCAAACTGTGCTACGATTTTGGCTTGTCTTCTAGGCAGGAATTTTAGTTTCAGTCATTAAGTTTAGGAAACCCAAGTTCTTTGCAAGTTCAGGTGCTATCTTTACAGTTTCCATAATTATATCACAGTGCTTTGTCTATGTTTACTTATGATTTTACGTTTACTTATGAATTTAAACACAATTTTTCATGAGCCATTTATTGCTGAGTATTTGGATTTGGATTTCATATATTTCTATGGAATTACAGCAAGTTTGAAGAAAAAAACAGTAGAAAACATACTTATTATTATAACAGTAATTTGATTTCAGAAGTGCTACAAGATGAAAATTTATCTAGATGTTAATTATGAATGATCAGTATTAGCTTTTAATACTTTAATAACCCCCCAAATATTTGTAATTGTAATTGCCTGTAAGGAATTTTTGCACTGAGTTTCACCACTCAGTGTGTCTTTAAGTGTTAAATTTTGATATAAACATGAACATCAGGAAGAACTTGAGCCAACTTGGGAGCTATTAGTTCACTCAGCATCCTTCATCAAACAGAGCTCAGAGCTTCCCTCCCTTAGCTTTAAGCTTTTCTCAATGAACTGAGTAATGGAATCTTGAGGGATACCTCTAAATCCAGCAGCAGAAGCAAAAACTTCCCCACTGATAAGTAAAAGGATATTTCTTGCAACAAAACCTATCAAGTATAGGAAGCATGTATCTAACTCAGTCAGGCTTCCAACTAAATGCTAGTCAGTAAGGCCTAAAGGCAACAGGGACTTAGAGTAAAATAAAAAAGTCCACAGCAAACAGCAAAAGATCCAGTCTCAGAGGATGTTGTGGTTAATATCTGATCATCAGATTATTTGAAAGTTATCTAGAACATTCAAAACCTCACGCTGATCAGTTAATGATAATGCATTTTATATTTCAAAATTGCTAAAAGGTATTTAATATTCTCTCCACCAAATAAAGAAAACTTGATAATATTATGGAAATGTTAATTACCTTCATTGAATCTCTCTGCAATACATCAAAATATCACTTTGTTTCCAAAAAATACAGATAATTACTACTGTATAGTAGAAATAAATAAACTAAACTTGGTGTTACACACTTGTATCTCAGGTACTTTGGGAGCTAAGGTTGGAGGATCATAAAATTGAGCATATCCTGGGCAATTTAGGGTTTTAACAGGAATATGTCTGAAAATTTTAAAAAATGAAAGGAAGTTTGGTTATGATACTCAGAGTGAAGGCCTGAGTTCAACCTCCAGTACCACAAAAAATGATAAAATAAATAATTTTGAAAAATGTGAATACTTGTAAAACCTGGGAAGTATAATTTGTTAAGTCCATTAATATATAACTGAACTTGTAAGAAAACAGAACTGATTTTTCTACTTACAATCAATAATCAATTAAT